GTGTGCCTGCGAGTGTGTGCCTGCGAGTGTGTGCCTGCGAGTGTGTGTCTGCGAGTGTGTGCCTGCGAGTGTGTCTGAGAGTGTGTGTCTGTGAGCGAATGGGTGTCTGAGAATGAGAGTCTGTCTGAGAGTGAGGGTCCGTCTGAGAGTGAGAGTCTGAGTGAGAGTCTGTCTGAGAGTGAGAGTCTGTCTGAGAGTGAGAGTCTGTCTGTGAGAGTCTGTCTGTGAGAGTCTGCGAGTGAGAGTCTGTCTGAGAGTGAGAGTCTGAGAGTGAGAGTCTGAGAGTGAGAGTCTGTTTGTGAGTTGGTGTCTCCTTGACCTCTTACCTCCTCAGCTCGTGCTCTCTCAATCTTTACTCGGAAATCCTCGATAGACTGATGTAATCCTCGATGAGCTCCCAGCTGTGTCTGCACTGTAGGCAGGTCAACCCCCCACTCAGCAACATCCAGGTGCCTCTGGTTCTCCTCTATCCACTCTAGCAGGTCCTGGATATACTTCAGGGTCACTCCATCCATAGCAGGACTGGCCTTTGATGGGGACAGTCTGGTCTGAGTTATCACTGTGGTTGATGATATTGGTTGTTGGACTCCAGATTTAAACCGGAGAGAGTACTCTGTCCGTGTAGCAACCAGGAACTCATGCAGACGGAACACCCTACAGTACAGGAGAACAATTAGTGACAGAACGTAAACCCCTCTCTCTGACCTGAAACATACAGACTCTCAGAAAACAAATGACCAAGCATTACACACATCTATTGCAACAATGGGTAATGCTGAAACGGTGGGGGAGCTACAGTGGCTATAACCATGGCCTTGCCCTACTCTTGCCCCACCCCTCGTGTTGCTGAGCCCTCTGACCCCATCCTGACCTGCCCGACTCATTCCCTCTGGCCCCATCCTGACCTGCCCGACTCATTCCCTCTGACCCCATCCTGACCTGCCCGATCCATTCCCTCTGACCCCATCCTGACCTGCCCGATCCATTCCCTCTGGCCCCATCCTGACCTGCCCGATCCATTCCCTCTGACCCCATACTGACCTGCCCGACCCATACCCCGACCCCATCCTGACCTGCTCAACCCATTGCTCCTCAACACACTCTGTGCGCCAATAACCCATGACCCCCAATCTGTGCCCTCTGACCTATGTCCCTGACACCAGTCTGACCACGCCCCTGACTCACCCCAATGAGCCATAGCCCTGATCCCTCCATGACCTAACCGTTGACCCATGCCCCCTGATCCCAGCCTGACCTGCGGTACATCTGCTCTGCCTGTGGATGTCTGCCATCCTTCAGGGTCTGGACGTCATTGAAGAGACTTCGAATCAAACTGTCTGATTTGTCCAGGTCATGTTCCAAGACAGCAATGTTCTGAGGGGTTTTCCCAGCGTTTAACAACCGGATATCCTGTCAGGGAGAGCAAGACCAGCGTTCAATGCTTCGTTTGTGTACATTCTCCCCAGATTCACTCTCTCTCTCACTCTCATGTACATTCTCTTTCCCTGGGGATGCTGGTTTTCAGTGAGCCCTCCCTCAGTGCATGTCCCCATGCTATCTGCCAACCTGCTTAATTCATCTTCCTCTTCCACTTTATCTTCAATATTTCTTTCAACTGTGATCAGGATAAAACCATCATGTCTTCGTTTGCAATATTCATATTTGACTACATTTCTCTCCCTATCATTGGGAATCCTTTCGAGTCTTAAATTTCTCCTTTTGATCTAACCCACTCTGCCTATTGGGTCATGCAGCTACTTCTGTGCAGACTCTGCCATAGCCTTCTTTCTCCCTCTTTTTCCTTTTATTCACTCACAGGATGAAGGTGTCGCTGACCAGGCAGCATTTATTGCCCATCCCTAATCGCCCAGAGGGCAGTTAATAGTCAACCATATTGCTGTGGGTCTGGAGTCACATGTAGACCAGACCAGGTAAGGATGGCAGTTTCCTTCCCTAAAGGACATTAGTGACCCAGATGGGTTTTTTCTGACAATTGATAATGGATTCACTGTCATCATTAGATTCTTAATTCCAGATATTTTAATAAGTTCAAATTCCACCATCTGCCGCGGTGGGATTTGAACCCAAGTCCCCAGAATGTTATCTGTGTCTCTGGATTAACAGCCCAGCGATGATACCACTAGGCCATTGCCTCGCTCCACTTGACTCTTAACTACCCTCTGGGCAATTAGGGATGGGCAATAAATGCTGGCCTGGCCAACAACACCCACGTTCCCAAGAAAGAATGAAGAAAATGAAACAGTGCCCATTCACTCTTCCCGTGTACCCTCCTTTTCCCTGTCCAATTTCTCTCCACACCTCTCTCAGTATGCTATCTCCTTGCTCACAGTTCTGTACATCTCCTCTATCTCTGGTACATCCACACTCTCTCCATCTCTTTCTGCCTGTTTACACACTGCCCTCTCCCTGTCTGTTCACTTGTTAAGGGGTCACTCACAGATTTGAGCATTGTGTCAGACTGTTTGATTTGTTCTTCACACGTGTTCGATTCCTGCTGAATCCTCAAGATAACCCTTTGGAATCGCTCCTGTCTGAAAACAAAGGAGGCAACATATACTCACTCAAACGATCACTGTTGACTGGATTCTCAGCCGAACACAAATAGCCCTCAGCAATGTCTGCACTTGCAAAGCAGCATGAGACTTACAACTGGCCTGGGGTCTCAGAAGGGGTTAGTGAACCAGATGGACAATGCATGACAGGTTCATGGTCAGCATTAGATTCTTAATTCTATCTGCCATGGCACAGTTTGAAGCTGGGTCCTCAGAACATTAGCTGAGTTTCTGGACTATTAGTCTAGTGATAATACCACTAGGCCATCAGTTCCATACCAAATGTGACTGATACAGGGTTATGGGTAGAGCACGGGGCAGTGGGATTAGTTTGGGGATTGATACATGCTAATGGGGAGAAAGCAGGGCTGTGGGATTAACTTGGGGATCAATACAGGGCTATGGGGAGAGAGCGGGGCAGTGGGATTAGTTTGGGATTGATACAGGGCTATGGGGAGAGAGCTTGGCAGTGGGATTAGTTTGGGGATTGATACAGGGCTATGGGGAGAGAGTGGGGCAGTGGGGATTAGTTTGGAATTCCATCTGAAAGGACATGTTATCCTCAGAGTAAATAGGAACTGAATTTTCTGGAGAATTGAGTGAGCTATTGAGAAGGTTACACTTGCTGTTCCCTTTATTTGGAGAGATATCAAAACCATGTGATCTTAAACTACTTGTGCAATATTTCTGGTCAGCAAGGAAAGCACCAACCTCTCAAACTCGCTGCGTAGAACCCTTTCCCTCTCCAGAATGGCAACATGTAGCTTTCCCCACTCCTTCTCCACATCGATCGGGTGATAACCTGCTGGCACCTTGAGGTGGCCCTCCTGTACAGCACCCTGTAACAGACACACAGAGTTACAGCACCCTGTAACACACACACAGAGTTACAGCACCCTGTAACACGCACACAGAGTTACAGCACCCTGTAACACGCACACAGAGGTTACAGCACCCTGTAACAGACACACAGAGTTACAGCACCCTGGAACAGACGCAGAGTGGAAGCACGATGAAGTGAAGTCATACCTCCAGGTTTTTGAACAGAGCCTTGCTGTGTTGTTTCTCCGTCTCTCGAACGGGCAGATCTGATTCTTTAAACTTCAGGAACTGTCTCCACAGAACCTTTATTAATCACAGCCAAGTTAGTTGTTAGAGAACCAACATAAAGTTTTCACATTTTCCAGGATCGAGTACAGGGCATTAACAGATTCTGGGATCGGGTACAGGGCATTAACAGACTCTGGGATCAGGTACGGGGCATTAACAGACTCTGGGATCGTGTACGGGGCATTAACAGACTCTGGGATCGGGTACAGGGCATTAACAGACTCTGGGATCAGGTACGGGGCATTAACAGACGCTGGGATCGGGTACAGGGCATTAACAGACTCTGGGATCAGGTACGGGGCATTAACAGCCTCTGGGATCGGGTACAGGGCACTAATAGACTCTGGGATCGGGTACAGGGCATTAACAGACTCTGGGATCAAGTACAGGGCATTAACAGACTCTGGGATCAAGTACAGGGCATTAACAGACTCTGGGATCGGGTACGGGGCAGTAATAGGTTCCAAGATCGGATCTTGATTCTCCTGCTCCGAGGGACACAGGGTCACTTTGTAATGTGAAGTGATTCCTCACCTCCATCTCCTCATAGGTTCCTGGGAATTTTTTTTCCTCAAATATGGTGATGTGGTGACGAATCCACTGGATCAGCAATGTCACCACCTCATAATACTCCTGCCATTGCAACTCGATCTCCTGCAGAAACAACATCGAGAACTCAGTCACTCAGGTGTTGAGGGAAGGGATGGCCTAATGGTATTATCAGTGGGCTATTAATCCAGAGACCCAGATAACATTCCTGGGACCCAGGTACAAATCCCACTGCGGCAGATGGTGGAATTTGAATTCAATAAATAAATATCTGGAATTAAGAATCAAATAATGCCCATGAATCCATTATTGATTGTCGGGAAAAACCCATCTGGTTCACTAATGACCTTTAGGGAAGGGAACTGCCATCCTTACCTGGTCTGGCCTACATGTGATCCCTACATTGCCCCCCACAGCAATGTGATTAACTCTGAACTGCCCCGTGGGCAATAAATGCTGCCTGACCTGCAATGTCCTCATCCTATTAATGAATTAAAAAAATAACTGGCTCTCTCAACAGGTGACTGTGCCAACACATGGGCAGAGGGGAGAGGGACAGGAGTTACCATGGGGGGAAGAGGGGTCTGAATCCAGGGTGGAACTCTGGAGGTGATGTTATGTCAAAAAGTGAGACAGGGCAAGAGGACTGGCTGCTTTGAGAACAGCTTTAACTAAGTGAGTAGAACCGGGAGAGAGACAGAGTGTAAAGTCCTTATTTTTGTGGTTTGCAGTTTGTTAAGAATAGGGAGAGAGAGAAAAACGTGTGATTTCTCATAGTACATGAAACATGGTAGGAAGGGTTAGGGTTCCTGAGCCTGTATGTCCAGGTCAGCTGCATCCTTCTCTCTCTCTCTGTCTCTCTCTCTCTTTCTCTCCCCGACTTTTCTGTCTTTAACTTTCTCTTTTGTTGGGAAGCTGGAGAGGTGTTGGAGGGTTGTTGGCAGCAGCGGTGATGGGATCGAGGATTCCTGGTTTCAGTAGGACCGGAGCCTGCTCTGGGCTTGCTGCAGGGAGCGGGGCTGCAACATGCCCACAGCAGGGACTCAGGTCCGGAGCGGTGACCCGGAGCAGTGACCCAGCGCAGTCTGGAGCGGTGACCCAGCGCGGTCCGGAGCGATGACCTGGAGCGGTGACCCAGCGCGGTGACCCAGCGCGGTCCGGAGCGGTGACCCGGCGCGGTGACCCGGCGCGGTCTGGAGCGGTGACCCAGTGCGGTCCGGAGCCCTGACCCAGCGCAGTCCGGAGAGGTGACACTGTGCGGTCCGGAGCAGTGACCCAGCGCGGTCTGGAGCAGTGACCCGGAGCGGTCCGGAGCGGTGACCCAGCGCGGTCTGGAACGGTGACCCAGCGCGGTCTGGAACGGTGACCTGGAGGTGAGGCATGGCACCATCTGCTTGAGGGACTGTAACGTTGAACATTTTATTTCTTATTTTCGAATATATTTCTAAAATCCTGTACGTAAGTACCTTTGTACCTAAGATGGTGGCCACTATGTAAATTTCTCACTGCGCTCGTGTGAGTATGTGTGACAATAAACTTATTTTGAAGTGTAATATTGGTACCAATGACACAGGCAGAAAGCGAGAGAAGATCCTGCAGAGGGTGTTCAGGGAGTTGGGGGCAGATTAAAAAGCAGGATCCTGAGGGGTGTAATCTCAAGATTGGTTCCTGAACCATGTGCTACTGGGGCCAGAAATAGGAAGATAACACTGCTGAATGTGTGATTAAAGAGCTGGTGTAGGAGGGAGGGCGTTCAGATTCTGGATCATTGGGATCTCTTCCAGGGCAGGAGGGACCTGTTCAAGAAGGACGGGTTGCACCTGAACTGAAGGGGCAGCAATATCCTGGCAAGAAGGATTGCTAGTGTCACATGGGAGGGTTTAAACTGGTGTGATATGGGTGTGGGAACCAGAGGCGTGCAGTCACTGAGGGGAAGGTAGAGGTGAAGTTGAGTAAGGGAGGACAGGCAGGGCCAGGTTCAGGAACACAGTGAGATTGGCGGTCTGTAGTGTGTTTATTTGAATGCAAGGAATATAACAGGTAAGGCAGATGAGCTTAGAGCCTGGAATAATAGTGGGACTACGATGCTGTAACCATTACAGAAGCTTGGTTGAGAGAAGGGCAGAACCAACAGCTCAACATTCCAGGGTTTAGATGTTTTGGGTGAGATAGAGAGGGATGTAAAAAGGAATGGGGGAAGTTACGTTACTGATTGAGGAGAATGTCCCAGCTGGGACAAAGAGAGGACACTGGAAGACCCATCCAGTAAGGCCATAGGGTTGGAGCTCAGGGATAAGGAAGGTACAGTCAGTATGATGGAATTATTCTATCAGCCTCCTAATAAGTGGCGGGGGATGGAGGAACTGATATGTAAGCAGATTATGGAAAGATGTAAAAACAACAGGGTCACTGTAGTGCCTGATTTTAACATCCCTAACAGTGACTGGGACTCCCTTAGTGCCACGGGCTTGGATGGGACAGAATTTGTTTAGTATATCTAGAAGCATTTCTTGAAGCAATGTGTAGATAACTGAACTAGGGAAGGGGCTGTGCTAGACCTTGTACTGGGGAATGAGCCTGGCCAGGTGATTGAAGTTTCAGTGGGGGAGGGTGAGGGTAGCGGGAGTAGGGTCCGTGTGGGAAGGGGTAGGGTCCGTGTGGAGGGGGTAGGGTCCGTGTGGAGGGTGTAGGGTCCGTGTGGAGGGAGTAGGGTCCGTATGGAGGGGGGAGGGTCCGGGGGGGGGGGGAGTAGGGTCCGTGTGGAGGGTGAATGAGTGGAAATCTGGAATAAAACGTTAGCTTGATGGTGAGCAGTAACAATTGTTCCAACCCCATTTGATTTGACAATGTCCTTTCGGGTCAGGAATAAGACCAGAAGATGTAGGAGTAGAACCAGGGAGCCAGGCTCTCCATCATTCGGACTGTGTCTGACCTGATGGTGTCTGTTACAAATAACACAATCTACATACATCTGATATCAAACTGAAAATGAGGTGAGACCCTCGTTGGTAGAAGGACCTACTTGGGAACATTGTCAGTGAGTTCAGAAACACTAGTGTATCCAGATCCATTGGAAAGGACTGAGGGTGGGTCCGAAACAGAGCTTACTAACAAACCAGCTCCTTTAGGAGGCTCACTCCCAGAATCAGAAAGACTTACATTGGCTCGGATCCCAGCCTCGACATTGGGAACTCGTGGCAGTGCATCATACAGGGATGAGACGTAGGTAATGATTGATTTCTCATCCGGGTGGGGCACATCCACATCTGGAACATCAAGACAAGAGTCAGCCAACAGCAAGGGGGGATGCTGTGGGGACACACAGAGGGACCCAGGGACGCGGTGGGGGGTGGGGTTCGCTCAGAGAGGGACAGGGTGGGGCTCAGGGTGAGACAAGTGAGGGAACAGCCAGTGGGAATGGTCACAGGTTTGGGAAACACAGAGTCAAAGATAGCAGAGAATAAACAGGGAGAATGGGAGTTGGGGGGAGGCTGAGGCAGAGAGGGGTATAGAGCGGGAGTGGGAGGAAGGAGATTACGGAGAGTGGGGACAGACGGGGAGAGGGGAGATTAAGGACAGTGAGGACAGAGGGGGGAGAGGAGAGAGGGAGGGGAAATTAAGGAGAGTGGGGACAAACAGGGAGAAGGGAGATTAAGGGGAGTGGGGGAGAGGGGAGAGGGAGGGGGGAGATTAAGGGGAGTGGGGAGAGGGGAGAGGGAGGGGGAGAGATTAAGGAGAGTGGGGACAAACGGGGAGAAGGGAGATTAAGGGGAGTGGGGACAGACGGGGAGAGGGGAGATTAAGGGAAGTGGGGGAGCAGTGGGGGAGAAGGAGGGAAGAGATTATGGAGAGTGGGGGAGAGGGGAGAGGGGGGAGGGAGGGCGGAGATTAAGGGGAGTGGGGGAAAGGGGAGAGGGAGAGGGCAGATTATGGAGAGTGGGGCAGCAGTGAGTGATTGAGACAGGCCAGGGTCAGGCTGGGGATTGGAGTCAGTGATGAGGCTGTGTATGGGGTACTGGGTCTGGGAGATGATTGCAGCACTCTGAGAGAGCAGATCAAACTGTTGTTACCTTCAGGGTCCAGCAGCCTGGTGACCCCCAGCTCCCGCTCTGCAACGCTGAAGGCCTGCTCCAAGTTCTCCTGGTTCTTCTGTCGATAAACCTTATTCATGTCGATCAAAATAGGCCTGAAAATAAAATTATAACTTTACACAGAGAACTCTCAACTATGTCAGGAGGAATCGAGAGGAAAGGGCAGAGAGAGAGAGAGGAGCAATGGAGTGAGAGAAGCAGCAACAGTAAAGAGGAAAGAAGACATCACCTGGATTAGGAGCACACGGAGGCCATTCACCCCCTCCAGCCTGCTCTATCACACGGGCTGCTTGTGGTTACAACTCCGCCTTCCTGTCTGTCCCCAATCCTCCAGCCCCACTACCACCTCCTAACACCGACTGCATGAAGAGCCTCTCACACTCAGCTGTGAACACATTCACTGACACGAGCTCCACTGCTCTCAGGAAAGAGAATTCCAAACTCGTTACTTTCTGTTTCCATCAGACATGGACTGCACTGACAATTCCTGCATCTGTTGACCATCCCTAGTTTCTCTTGACCTGAGTATCTTGCCAGGCCACTTCAGAGGGCAGTTCAGAGTCAACCACATTGCTGTGGGTCTGGAGTCATGTGTAGGCCAGACCAGGTAAGGATGGCAGTTTCCGTCCTTAAAGGACATTAGTGACTCAGATGGGTTTTTACAACAATTGACAATAAATTTCATGATGATGTTTCAGAGACCAGTGTTATATTTCAGAACCATACACTTCCCTCCCTTTCACATACATACAGGAACAGCAAGACCAGGAGAAGGTCATTCAGCCCCTTGAGCCTGCTCCGTCATTTAATACAGTCATGGCTGATCTGATTGATTGCTCAAAACCACATTCCCACCTTCCGTTGATAACCATTCACCCCTTGCTTAACAAGAATCTCTTCACGTATGCCTTAAAATTATTCAAGTAGTCAGCACTGCTGCCTCACAGCACCACGGACCCGGGTTCGATTCCACCCTCCGGCGACTGTATGTGCGGAGTTTGCACATTCTCCCCGTGTCTGTGTGGGTTTCCTCCGGTTGCTCCGGTTTCCTCCCACAGTCCAAAGATGTGCAGGTTAGGGTGGATTGGCCATGCTAAATGCAGGGTTACAGGGATAGGATGGTGGTGTGGGTCTGGGTGGGATGCTCAAGAACAAAGAACAAAGAAAATTACAGCACAGGAGCAGGCCCTTCGGCCCTCCAAGCCTGCACTGATCCAGATCCTCTATCTAAACCTGTCACCTATTTTCCAAGGATCTGTATCCCTCTGCTCCCTGCCCATTCATGTATCTGTCTAGATACATCTTAAATGATGCTATCGTGCCCGCCTCTACCACCTCCGCTGGCAACGCGTTCCAGGCACCCACCACCCTCTGCGTAAAGAACTTTCCACGCATATCTCCCATAAACTTTTCCCCTCTCACCTTGAAATCGTGACCCCTAGTAATTGAGTCCCCCACTCTGGGAAAAAGGTTCTTGCTATCCGCCCTGTCTATACTCCACATGATTTTGTAGACCTCAGTCAGGTCCCCCCTCAACCTCTATCTGTCTAATGTAAATAATCCTAATCTACTCAACCTCTCTTCATAGCTAGCGCCCTCCATACCAGGCAACATCCTGGTGAACCTCCTCCGCACCCTCTCCTCTGTACTCAGAAACCCAGATCCCACTGCAGCTCAGAGATCCACAGTCTCTCACTGTTTAGATAATAGTCTTCATTTTTATTCCTTCTGCCAAAAATGACAGTTTCACACTTTCATGCATTGTATTCCATTGGCCAGATCTTTGACCATTTAGTTCATCTTTCATTTTTTGTAGCCTCCTAATGCCAACTTCACATCTCACTTTCTGACCTATCTTTGTGTCATCAGCAAATTTCGCTCCCATACCTTCCATCCCTGAACAGAAACAGAGAAATACGAGCTGGAGTAGGTCATTCAGCCTTTTGAGTTTGCACCAATATTCATTATGGTTATGGCTGATCATCCTACTCAATAGCCTGCTCTTACTTTGCTGGTGCAGTTCTCCATGTGCTCTCTCTCAATGTTGGCCACTGCCTTTCTACTGTCACCCCCCATCATTCAATGCTAACTCACACCTCATACATCACAGCTTCAACAAAACCATGCTGACTCTGCCTGATTACCCTGACCTTAACCAAGTGCCCTATTATAACGTCTTTAGTAATGGCTTCTAACATTTTCCCCACGACAGAGGTTAAGCTAACTGGTTCCCTTCCTCTTTCTCACACTCATTCTCTCTGTCACTTATGCACATTTGCTCTTACACTCACACACACTAATTCACAGAAAATGGATGGCAGAGAGTGTTAATCTCACTGGTTTAGTAATCCAGGACCTCAGGCTGATGTTCTGGGGACATGGCTTCAAATGTCACTCTGGCAGATAGAATTGAAAGCTAGCTTAATGACAACTATGTAAACACTGTCAATTATTAAAACAAAACATCTGGCTCACTAATGTCCTTTAGGGAAGGAAATCTGCCACCCTTACTCAGTCCCTTGAGCAATAAATACTGGCCTGGCCAGTGACACCCACATTTCTCTCTCTCTCTCTCTCACACACACACTCTCTCTCACACACACACACACTCTCTCTCTCTCACACACATACACACACTCTCTCACACACATACACACACACACACACTCTCTCTCTCTCACACACACACACTCTCTCTCTCTCACACACCACACTCTCTCTCTCTCTCTCTCTCTCTCTCACACACACACACACACACACACAAACAGATACACACACTCTCTCTCTCACACAGATACACACACTCTCTCTCTCCCACACACACACACTCTCTCACACACATACACACACACACACTCTCTCACACACACACACACACACACAC